ATTCTTTTGACTTGAAATTGTGACCATGTCAAAGTAGATCACACATATTGCCATGCCAAAACTCACCCTCAAAATTTTTTTTCGTCAGCTTAACTATTAGCTTCCATACATTTGGTCTCCATGAGACATTATGCTGTCTTTGATATTTACTTATGATTTTTCTGTTATTATTCTGATCTGTGATTTTTTTTCATGTTTGTATTGGGGGTTTCTATATCAAGGTGGATACATTCTTTGCTGCTGGTTCACCTCTTGGCGTTTTTCTAGCTCTTCGGAATATCCGCATAGGGATTGGTAAGGATCTGTCTATATTAATTTTACCTTGGTTTTTTGGTTTATAGATACATAAGTAAAGACTGAACTGAGGACATGGCCCACAAGTAAGATGAATTGAATAATATGATTTCTTATAGTTGACCCCAAAGGCAAAAATTTGTGATAAAGGCTTAATTATGGTTCTTGTTGTTACTTCCATTAGATGATGGACTATGGAAACCAACTTCTTTAATAATTGTGTTAAATCCCCTCTCTTTTGATGTTCCATATATATTTTTGAGTGCCTCTTATCACATATGATTTCTTATAGTTGACCCCAAAGGCAAAAATTTGTGATAAAGGCTTAATTATGGTTCTTGTTGTTACTTCCATTAGATGATGGACTATGGAAACCAACTTCTTTAATAATTGTGTTAAATCCCCTCTCTTTTGATGTTCCATGTATATTTTTGAGTGCCTCTTATCACATATGACAGTTAATCCATCTATTTCACGAAAATTATTTGTAACTTGCAATTGTCCAACCATAATCATTATAAAAATAGTTTGAGATGCACTTTATTCAATTATTAGTAAATATCACATAATGGGTACTATCTTAATTGACAATTAATTAGATATAATTCAGTGGTTCATAAATTCAACGCACGTTAGGTGAATCATCGGATGGATGCTTAATGCCATTTTCAACCTTATCAGCTATTTGCAAAAACTTACATGCAAGGTTTTAAATATCGGTTATCACAAATATATCGGATGACCAAAATTCATATCGGATCCCGGTTATCAGGGATATATTGGTGGAAAATAGTAAAAATTAGAGTGTCATGTTGGATGGTGAGCATACATAATATATGTCCTATATGTAATATCAACATTTAATGAAATATCAGGAGAGAGTATTCGAGAGACGTTGTTGAAAGAGGCCGTCGAGTGAGAAATTTGCAACTGATTTGGGGGAAAGAACATTGGAGGCAGAGAGAATTAAGGTTATATGATGAGCGGATGCGAAATAGAATGGGATAGCACGGGTTTTGTTTAGTGGATGCGCATCGTGTATGCAAAAAAAAGGGTTTTTGCCTCCAAGCTCGAATAGGTTCCCTTAAAATGTAAATTGTAGAAAATTGAGTGATCTTTAACCAGGAGAAATCAACCTATTTGTCAGATTTACAAAGGGATATATCATGATAAATCAGCGAAAAATGATATGCGATAAATTTTTACGGAAATCGTTTCGGCCATGACCCAAACCCTAATATATCGGCGATAAATTGGTAAAATTGTCCTATTTTTAAAGCACTGCTTACATGAGATTGAGACAAATGGCTGCACTTAGATGACCATATGTCATTTTTGAATGAACGAAAGTAGTTCTCACCATTCAATATTATGTATTAGGGTTTTGGTCAAGGAGCAATCCTTAACTTAGGCCCTATTTCACCTTATCACCCTTAATTACTCAAAATTTTAGAAAACTACCCCTATCTACCATTTTGTTAACAACGAACTGCACATGACCTTTTCAATCCAATTTTCCATCGAAAAAATTATATGTTGCTGGTTTTCCCCTTCATAGGTTTAATTTTGTAAGAATCAAAATTAAATTTTATTAAAAATTTAGGGTATTAAAGTTAAATTTTGTTGAACTTTAGGTATTTTTTTTGGGGGGGGGGGAAAAATACTTTTGAGTTATGAAAATAAAAATGAAGCGATTTTGTGGTATTTTTGGTCCAAAAAAATACTTTGAGGTGTTAAGTTAAAAATGGAAAATAATGTGAGTTATTTAATTTTGACCCTAAAATTCAGTAAAATTAAACTTATGTAGGGGTAGAACCATCAAAATATAATTTTTTTGGAGATTAAAAATTGGATGGAAAAGATTATGGGTTCTATCTTCCTTAGTGGTGGTTTTCTGAAGGTTGGGTAATTAAGGGTGATAACATGAAATAGAGCAGGGGTGTTCTCTGAGAAAATGTTATATTTTGGTCAATATATAAACATTGACTTGTTAAATATTAGATTTCAATTGATTGAAACAGTGTACCTATTAAAGTTAGGTGTCTGTTAATTCTTGGGAACTCTCTAGGGGTATAGAGGTCTAGAAATATTAAATTTATAGCAGAATATCTTGTATGAGCAAACATGATGCAGACAAAATGATTGATCGATAAGAAGAGAGTTATGTGTTATCTGATATCATTTTGAGTATATGAAACGCGTAATAAGGAGTCAGCTCGTGCTATAGTTAGGACGACTGCCCACATTGTGATTGTGGTAATGATGTAAAATAAATATTAGCAACTTTGCATCATCATATTCTCGAGGCTGTTGTGGCTGTTTCATGCTTATTTGATGGCACATGCTAGATATCGATGGACATATGCTGAACATCTATATGATTAGTTCATGTGTTCCATTAAATCTATAAAAGTAGATTTTCAGCTTTTGCTATCACATTATGGCCCTGCATTTTTATTCTTTGGATAATATTCACCATTTGAAATTTACATAGGAAATAGTAAAGACAAATAGAGGGCGAGGATGTACTAAATCTACTTTTGTGTATTTAGTGCAATGTTTGTAGTGTAACTCATCCAGACATTTAAACTGCTGTGTCCAAAGGTTTTTTAATCGATCTACATGTCTCTTTCTATGTCCACATCTCATGTCAGTGTCTCAAAAAAAAAAAAAAAAAACTAAGGTAAATATTTGTTTTTGGCTGAATCTTACCTATCACTGCCAAATGTAATGTGGAATATGGAACTAATTTTAGACATAACAACAAATTATCTTATTATACATCTTAAAGTGCTTTAAAAATATTGCGAATATGGATACATTATCAAATTCAACCTAATTTTATGTTCAGTTAATTATAAGAAACTAATTTGAAACTGAGGTTCATGAGTTGAGTTGGAGAATCAATATCAATCTATAAGGTTAGGAATAGCCTGATAACTGCACTTAAGGTCATGTAAGAAAAATTCAATTTAAGACAAACTCAATGCAAGATAAATCTCCATTTATCTTTGCTACATGAGATCCTAGATTTCGTTGTTCATGTAGAAGATTGAATGTGACTGATAATGTAGGTAGAAGCATAATAATGAACCAATGTCAAATGAGCTAATAAAGTTTCAACTTTCAATCTCAAATCGATATATTTATGATATTAAAAGTGGAATAGAAGAGTATAATGAATAGTAGGGCAAACTATATTCCTCTGTAAACACGTAATATCTATTGTCTAGATCTCAGGGTATCTTGCATTTCTTGGACAGGACCCAAGTTTTATCCTAAATCATTATGTCAAAAGTGTGCTTCTTGCCTCTGTGGTGTGAGCTTAAACTGCATGACTGTTACAACCTTTTTCTGTATTAAAAATAATTCGATTCAATAGTACATTATTTCCTTTAGTTGAAACTTAGTACCTGTTTAGAGGGGTGGGTTGTATTGATTTGTAAGATTTATTAAATCCCTTCTTGAAACATGATTCTTAGCAGATTTATTGTCAGAAAGATTGCATTAATCTATTTTGTGATCATTGTGGTAAGATACGACTTCTAATATCACTTCAGTAAAAAGTATAGGGGTTCAAATCATGCTTCACACAAACTCAACATCACTGACATAATTTTTTAGCATAAATAGCTTATCTGCCCATGTAACCATTGTTTGAAAAGGCTAGAGGTCCAAATCATATTTGGGACAAACTCAACATCACTGACATAACTTTTAGCATAATCAGCGCATCCTGCCCATATAATCATTGATTTCTTTTTTAGTGAAATCTTATCAAACTTTTATTTGTGGTTGTATACTAGAGCTACCCCAAATGCTCTTTTAGTATATAAATAAATAGAGAAGATAATAAGCAAAAGAAGTATTATAGAGGGTAAGAGGAGGGATGGAGATGAGAAGGCATCAGAATTGGAGGCTTGGAACTTAGAGGATTGTTAGACAGCTCCTTGCATGATGACCTCCCTCTACCTGTCTAGTGCTGGCTAGGAGGAAGTAATGGAGGGGATTACTGCCATTACTGACTCCCTCAACCTGTTTAGTGCCGTCTAGAGGGAAGTAAAGGAGGGGATTACTGCCATTACCGACGTCTTGCTTTCCCCTCTGCTTCTACCTGGTCTTCATTTCTAATTAGAATTAGGTTTTCATTTCATGGGTGCAATCTGGCATCTGATTACCCATACGTACCTCGACATATAAATGAATTTGGTTTGTGGATTTGCAGTTTTTGGATGTTAATTTGTGAAGAAAAATAGAAAATAACCACTCAAACGGTCTAGAGTTGCTTATTAGGGTTCTAGGGAAATTTGGAACCTTGTTCAAAGTGCAAATGTATTCTTGATAAGTTTTTGATGGATGCAAAGTGTTTGCATTCGTAAGTTATGGAGCTTGACAGAAAAATAGATTTTTTGAGACAAGGTAGTAGGCATATATGTAGAGATGGAGCTGATTGAGTTTTCATAAGGTTGTTGAATATACCGTTCTCTTCTATAATGGCACTAGTGTATAAATTGTTGCAAGTATGGCTGAAATTTCTTTTGGCTTCTGTTCACCCGATTTTTGCTTGTTTCTTTGTTTAATTATTAAAATGAAGATATGAGATCTTCATCTCTCACTATGATTTATCTTAGCAATGATTGGTTAGGGTATTTTGCAAACATATTTACACATTGTTCTTGATGTATAGTTGATTTGGATGCTCTGAATGATTGACACTCCTATGACATACAAAGATGATAATGCCTTTTACATCACTATTAATTCTTTAGATGCAAGATCTGAAGTCGTTAACATATCATCCAAAATATTTATCAAATTGATTGTTTATATAGTTTGAATACATGACCATATTTTCTGTTTGTTTGATTCTTCTGGACCTGTGAAACCCTTGGCTAGTTGTCTGTCTCACTGTAGAAAAGGGCTCTTATTGAGCATAGTCTTTATTTCTTAACTCTAACAAGTAATTTCTCTTACACTTGCAAATCTCAAGCAGTAATGTTGATTGGAATGTTTTGAGGGTGAGATCACAAGTTTGAGGTTTAAAGTGGGAAAACCAGTAATTTTGAATTTTTGATTGATACAAATTAACATTTCTTTGATGTATTTTAAAAGTAGGCGACAATAAACATGATGCTGCTGTTTTTCTTAAATCCATTTATTACTTTTCACAACATATATGTGTCTGTCGAATGTGTTTTGTATGTTTTAATTTGTTTGGGGGGGGGGGGGGGGGGGAGGAGTGTTCTAGTGACCAATTTTATTCAACATAAATAAGCGCCTTCAAGACTACATTATATGCAATTAATTTATTTAATCCACTCTGTTCATTTTGGTTTATGTGTTTTGGATTGTATATAAACAAAAAAAGCATAATGGGTTGTAGTTGCTCTATGCTCATGCTTCAAGTGATTGTAAAATTACCAGTTTTACAACAATATATCTAAAATGATAATGAAAGATGCGTGTTAGAAGTATTGAAACATCATGATTTTTGTTTTATAGATTTTTTGAGACATTTAGATCATAATGAAGGGAGCGGATCATCTACTGGCGTAGTCTAAATTATGAATCAATAGACGCTTCCTTAAATTGAATCTAAGATGTCACCTTAGAAACACTTTTCTCTCTCTCTCTCTCTCTCTCTCTCTTATATATTATTTATATATATATATATATATATTATGAGAAAAATTGTTATGCTGATACAGCATAAGTTTTCTACTTGATAGTGAGATGACAATTCTCCTCCACTCATTGAAATCGGCACCCACATTCACATGAGTTGGGAGTGGTTAGGAATTGGATGAGTAGATGGGAATATGACACCTCACCACCAAGCATAAAATTTGTGCTTTCGGTATCAAATATAACCCATTTCTCTCTCTCTCTCTCTCTTCTCTTTTATATATATATATATATATATATATATATTTATATATTATATATTATGGTATGATTGATACCAAACACAAAGTGCTGGTTGATGTGGTCATTTCTCATCCATACTAAGTTGCATGGAAACATGTATGAGTGCGGGTATGGGATACGATAAAATTGTAAAATATATGGTATTGGGACATGGCTTCTTATATATATTGAAATTAATAAATTACATGAGATCATTATTGATTCACAATTTATGTGCTATTGGAATTAAACTACCTATCACAATTTTAAGTTTCTTTTATTATGTTGATTATTATAAAATGAAAACCGCTTGTTTTTGAATTTAACACTCAAAAAACATTTTAAAATCATAGTTTTAAACATGTGCATGGGCTGAAACAAATCTGAACAAATGTTTTAATTTAAAACATGTATTATATAATTGAGTACATGTTATGCATATGCCCAAGGAGTGTCCATGAAGTTCAGTAGGAGAGGTAAGGGTACGACTTCATAGAAGTACCCGGGTAACATAGCATCCACACATTTCAAGTTGTCCACTTGAAATTGGTCCCTACATGATTACCCATTTATTGAATGAGTGGATGGGAATTGGCTACATCACTACCAAGCATGCATATAATCCTCGTGTAGACACGCGCCCACACACGTGCATGCGCACACACGCATGCACACACTCTAGAGTAATGCATGTCATTGTCATGTGACACGCGCCCACACACACGCGTCCCCACACGCACGTGCATGCGCACACACGCATGCACACACTCTAGAGTAATGCATGTCATTGTCATGTGATAGGATTACCTCATATAACAATGATGTGGCTCAAAAAGTAGGAGAGAGAAACCCTCAAAATTGTACTTGGATGGGATTGGGCTAGATCATTGTAAATGAGGGAATTCCCTCATATGACATATGATACCCATTAATATATATATATATATTATGAAATATGGGTATGCTTGGTACCAAGCACAAATTTTTGTGTTTGGTAGTGAGGTGTCATATTCTTCTCCACTCATTCAAATAGGGGGACGATATTCACATGAGTTGGGGAGTGCATGGGGATATGTCACCATTTGAATGAGTGGATGAGAATGAGACACCTCACTACCAAGCACAAAATTTGTGCTTGGTACCAAACATACCCATTTCTCTCTCTCTCTCTATATATATATATATATACATACATACATGTATTACTTCTCAGATGGCCATGTGGGAACAACTTGTCGTGCTTTGAATGGATAGTTGCCCAATGAAAGCAAAAGATTATTCACATTGTTTGTTCCTTAAATTGTGCATATTAAATTTCCTTGTTTTTTCTCCTATGTTTTCAGCAATTAGATGCCATTTTAATTTTTTTATATAACTCTCATGTAATATAAATATTTCTTGGCATTTTTACCCTTTACTGCATGTTCCTTTGTTCTCCTACATTTTAGGTAGGGGCCAAAGTTACTGGGAAAGAAATTTAACATTTTTCATCCTTTTGATCCTGTAGCATATAGGTTTGTCCTACATTTCATCAATTTGAATTCTTTATATTGGTTTTTTAACATTCCATTTTCACCTGCTGTGTAATTAATTTTTTTTTACTTACTGTCATCTATTTTATGTTTTCACATATTGTCACTTTAATGTTATCGTTGTTTGTTTTATTATAATTTTATAAGGGGCTAACATAATATGCATGGTATTTTGGTTTTCCTTTTTTACTGCTTTCAAATATAAAATTATTTTTTGGAAGTGAAGGAATATATTATATGAATCTAGGCTGGGCTTTCATACAGAATCGAACCACTTGTATGCAAAGAATACACTAGCAAGCGCCCGGTCATCATACCCTATCACAGAGGAGGGAAGAGATTGCACATTGGCTTTCAGGTGAGATGTTACATATTTAATTAATTGTTGAAAGAAAGGATTTCAAAGTGTCATATTTTTACGTTTTATGAAGGATTTATTTTTAACCTGATTATATATCTTGTACTGGTTATCTCTGATGCAGGAATTTAGAGAAGATGTGACGGCACGTTCTCAGATCATAGCAGGTCGATTTAAATCTATGAAGGTTGGTTTCATATGCTTAAGACTAATACCTTCTTGTTACATGCGCAGCTGTTTAATAGAATGACTGTTCTTTCTGACGTGCAAGTCTACTTTCTGCCTTGAACATCCAGATCACTGAAAAGGAGAACTCTTAGCTCCATTGTTGTAATCTTCCTTTTATTGCTAGGAACTACTAAAACACAAAAGAAATGTTGTCATTTTTTAGGTAGGTGCATGGTCGAACCTAAGCTAGTAGATACTAGATAGGGATGCAGGGTAGAAAGAAAGGTTGAGTTGTTACACCAGATACATAATAATTTTATGTGGCCATTTAAAAAAAAAAAGATACACTATGCATTATGATCACATAACTAAGCGATTTGGCCCAATTCTCAGTGGACCTAGACTGGAAATGGGATCCTCTCCTCATGCACAGTGTCCTAATATTTCTTAATGTTCAATCTTGACCATTCATTTTACACATGTGGGACCCATTGGAGGGGATGGAGGGTGATGGAGGGGATGGATGCATCAGGAAACATTAGGAAACACTATGCATGAGGAGAGGATCCGGATCCCCTAGACTGAACTGCTTTTTGAGCACTAGATTATTCTCAAACTGTGGCATGTCTTATTGTATCTTAACTTTGATTGATTGCTTCAACGTTTTAGATAAACAGTGTTTACTTGTTATGTTCAAATCTCCTAATATAAAAATGCTTTAATAGGTTAAAGTGGCCAAAGTGTTTAAACCAATGAACAAAGCTAATTTGGAAGGTATTTAATTTCTACATTCACTTCACTACTTGCTTTGTAGTTTTTTTTGCATTACACTGTTATTTTGAATGTCTTCATAAATTGCGTTCAGAATCTGTGGAAGACTTCCAAGAGAAGGAAAGATCATACGGATCACTCATGATTGAGAGGCTAACGGGAAGTGAGGATGGCCGTATCGATCATGTTCTCCAGGTGATTAGTACAAGAGTATAGTAATGTGGCATGCAATATTATCTGTTGTTTCCATTATTATGTTCATTATTCTCACTGGGATTATTATTGTAGAAGTGCTAGGAGAGTATTGATTTCTTAAATTTTTTAGTGATTACTTCAAGTCAACAAAATGATGATGATACTTTTATTCCGTACTCTTTACTTGATGAAAACTGTTTTGCGTGTCTGCTTAGTTTCAATCTTTACATTATGCACTCTTTTGAGTAGATTAGAAGATGTACATCTATAAGGACAAAGCTGAACACCGGACTGTGCCGGGTCTAGGGTTGCCTGGGTCGTTTGGAGCTTCATTTTTCAAAGGTCTTCTGATAAAAGATGCTTAATGTAGTAAATGCAAGAAGATGATCACCAACTTCGAATTCTTCTAGACTATTTTGGGTTTTACTGCTGTATCTTTTGGGTTTTTTTGTCTGTGTACTTCTTTTCTAATGACATTGATGAATACGTAGTACTAATGGAGAGAAACTTCAAGGCGTTAATACTTGCTGAAAGCATATCTATGCTCGGGTGTTTATAGTCATCTTTATGAAAGTGTTAGTTGAAAACTGCACTATATTACTTTCTTAGGTCAGATCATTCATGTTGTGATACAGCAATGTTCTGAACGTAGAGTAAAGAATGGAGAGAGATTTTTTAGATAGGTGGAGTATCTGTCATAGAATGAGGCAAGCCTCCAGTAGATACTTATATTATCACATTACATATATGTAGATAGTACCAAATTGTGGTGAACAATAACAATCATGCCCAACTTGTTATCAAGATTAGTAAGTGTCCCTTCTTCCAATGCTTTGGTGGAGGTCTTCCTGCTTACACGACCAGTTTGATGAACGCATTACTGATCGTTTTCAAGACCTTATTGGTATACGATGAATTAGATGTCAATAAACTGTCGTATGCTACTTTATTATTAATTTATTTTTCTCTTTTGAGAACACAGAATGTTACTTTCATATACGGGATCAGTCGTCTTGTGATAGAGCGATGTTCTGAGAGGAGAGGAAAGAATGAAGAGAGATATTTTTCAGAAGGTGGAATATCTGTCATATAATATGGCAAGCCTTTTTCACTCGTACTGCCATATTATGTGTTGGGAGTGCCAAATTGTGGTCTAACGCTTGCCTCAAGTTGGACAATTGATGTCCATCTCCATCATGTCCAATTTGCTTCGAAGATAAGTAATAAGTAGCCCTTCTCCCAATGCTTTGGTTGAAAGTTTATGGGTTTTGAGTATGTACAAAGAGCATCTAATTAATGTTATTATATCTCGTAAGAATTAAAGTAATAGGTATGAAATTTTGTAAAGCTTAGTTGAATGTCATGAATTCTTAATGATGAAAGTTTGTCCTTACTTTATCATCAGAAAAGTGGCGAACAAGGTCATCTTACATATGGCATAATAAGTTAGTTATGCACTGGGAACAAAAAAGCCTTCCCCTACACACACACACACAATTATAATAATAGAGCAAGAGTTATATACACATCCATCCATACGCATGTTCATGTAGTCTAGAGAGTATATTATATTTTCTAATAATATAAAACATAAAACAATTGTATGTATGCTAACTTTTTGACCTATCATACATTATTATGACATGCAAAAGGAGTACAACTTTGGTCTTTGGCTTTGTACAAGATGTTGGATGTTACTGAAACTTAGTTCTATACAAGTCAATATTTATAGCATTTCACTAGTCTTTAGTGCATAACTTAAAATAAATAGAATTTTCAAAAATGTAATAGAAATTAAGAATGTAGCATACACACACACACGCGACGGTGTCACGGTGTTTCAAATTAGAACATGTGTTATATGATTGAGGACACGTTGAATAAGGAGTCCCCAAAGAAGTGTCGGTGTCCGCTATGGGTGTCAGAGTCTCGGACACGGCTACAACTTCATGATATAAGTACCCATGCTATGTAGAACAAAACACACAGAATATAGATTTCGCAAGTCATAATGATGAAATGATCCCTCAGTTAGAAATTATATATACTAGGTGAACTTTATCTTGGTTTAGAGGACATGTTTGTTTTGGTAAGCAAGGTTTTAAATGTCGGATGTCGGGTTCATGTCAGACAACTAAAATTCATGTCGGATAGCAGAAATCAGGGATATGTCAGTGGACATGTACTAAAAACGGATTGTCATATTGGATGAATTTCTGCTCAATTCTGGTCACCAAGATGGAATGCACTTGTGTTGTTATTGCTTATCCTACATGAGTTGAGTATTCAACATCAAGACACAAGTTGTTTTCCATTTCTTGAAGGGAAACAGTGGAATATTATGCTAACAAATAAAACATTGTCAAACTAGAACTTTCGAAGTGCCTTGCATAAAATTAATATAACGTAAAGTGCCTTGCATAAAATTGACAAAGTGTTAGACTCTAGATTGATTTCAAGCTACGAGTCAACTTATTGTTTACATCACGCTTTTATGAATTCACAATTTTAATTTGTAGAGACGAAGACGAAGGAGAGGAGATCGCGGTGGAAAAGAGAGCAACATTTTTCTTCTGTGCCCTAATCTGTATTATATGCTATCGGATTACTATGGGAACAAAAGGCTAAAAAAAGAATTAATCGGTTTGGGTTTTGAGTACTAAATCTAAACCCCAATACTTACCAACACAAAAAAGGCTGATTTTTCAAGGCTGAAAATTAGCCGATATGTCCGCGATATCCCCTGATATGTCCGACATGGAATTTAAAAATGATATCTGGCTTGAAATGGTCATATCCATGTCGTTCTAGCCTCTAATCCAACATGTTGGCCCACATTTAAAACCATGTTGGTAAGTGATTTTGTACCTCAATTACCAAAAGCGTTACATACAAACAGTTTGTAAAACTCTCAGGCCTATATCAAAACTGGCCCCTGTGCATCAAAACAGAGAAATCGAACAGGGAAACAAAATTTGTACCAATCTTGAAAACACACACACACACACACACGAGAAACTATGGACTTATCCTTCTTTTTTGAGGAATAAAGTGTGGCTCGATAGGCATTGCAGAGCACCAAGATTGGTTCTCACTTGGATTCTTCAGCTGAGTAATCATGCTGCACTTGATCTTTATCCTGAAAACAACCAGGTTAAAGCACTCCTCTACTGGCAAATTTTGCTGGTGAAATATTTTAGAATTCCTTGCCAACCAAATAAAGTCGACACAAGCTGCATCCGAAGCTTTTCTGATGGTATTAATCACCTTGCTTCCCCTCCATTTCAGCATCCAATCGAAAACATAATCCCAAACAACAGACCATGTTTGAAACTGTAAAAAAGCCATAACTATCTGCCATAAAGCTATAAACTATATGAACATGAGAAGAAGAGATGATTTCTTGCTTCAACATGAGCTTCATAAAGAGGGCATATATCACTCTGAATAATCCCATGGCCATGAAGCTTACTCCCAGTGGGAAGTCTATCAAGACAAGCAACCCAAAAATATGAAAGCGTGCTTCGGAGAAGTAAGAGGAGTCCATACCAATTTAGTTCACTGCTTCTTAGGAGCAAGCTCGTTTAGAGGACATGTTCCCCTCTTTTTTCGGTGCTACCTTTTTCTCAGTCTATTACAGCAACTTAAAATGTGGATCCCATGTACCCCGACTTTTAAACATCAAAGAGATGTCAGATTTAAGGAAAACATAGGAGCATGCTAAACGTCAGTGCAATGACTTGCCAAGCTTGCATCGCACATTACTTGAAATAGCGAACTATGGTCTTAGTGGATCTGTATGTTTGAACTTGGAAAATTTACTATTTAAGGTACAAATGGAATCTTTACAAACCTATACCTCATAAATGATTGAATGCTCTAGTTCTGCAGAGAAATAACCCAAAGAATGCAGATCATGGATAAAAATACAGTTACATGCTTCATGAAATCTTAATTCTCTCTGTTTCTGTCTCGTACCTCCAAATTGGGGTTTACAAAAGACTTGGTTCCAAAATGATGTCAACTGTATATACCTTTGTTTGATACTGATGTAGTTCGCTAGCAGATTAAAACGGCTCATCCTTCCTGTGATTTGTATATCAATCATAATAAAGCTACATTATCTGGTAGGTGAGCTTGCAAAAAAGGACAGTGAGAATGGCCCTTTCTTAGGATGTTTAGAACCTTGACGCTGCCATCTAAAGTGAAACTTATTGTTTTCTGTATATTATGTCAGCTAGACATCCAAGGATTTGATTCAGCATGCTAGTCACTTTTTGTCAGGTTATTGGTAGCTTGTTCTTAGTTGATTGTAGTTTTCCTCCATATGATTAGACGCTTCATTGCTTTTCTCATTACTTCTCTGTTATTATTGCTTGCTTCAGAAATATTCTTCCTATAACCACTGTTAACTATGCAGGACAAAACCTTTCAGCACCAGTACATATCTGCTCTAGGAGCACACACGTAAGTCACACTAAACACCCTACTCAATAATCATGTTTGCTTTGATCATTGACTGTTATTTTTTCCCTTGGGGATTTGAAGCGTATATTGTTTGTTCTCTCTCTACACATGTATGTACATGTATATTTATATATACATATATACAGACACACACAAGCGCGCGCATGTATATATGAGTTCAGCTAGACTGCTACTAGTAGTATTCAATCTAATGGATACTACCGATCCAAATTTAAAATTTTGATCCTCAAATTGGAGATCCCTATGGTTGGGGGTGATAGTACTACACATGGACTACATAGCAAGCAAATTTCAGATGATGCGATCGTGTTTTTAATCATATATCAAACGGCAACAAACTCAGCAACTTTACGAAAATTATAAAACGTTGATTTTGACAACATATGATACATAGGTAGAATATGTTGAAATCTTTTGAAATTTTATTTATAGATATTGATGTGCAGTAGATCACATTCAACGGTACTGATTTTCAATCTGGGAGTCAAAACTTTAAATTCAGATTGATAATTTTCACAATTTAGATACTATTAACATTAGCATACCCACTCCCC